CGGCCCGACTCGACCGTGCTGGGCCGCGCCGCGCTCAGGTCTCAGCCCCGTCCCCGAGCCACGGCGTAGCCCTGGGCTCCCTCCCGCCGCCCGGCCCCGTCCCAGCGTCCAGCTCCGAGTCCCGCCGCAGCGGCTAGCTCTGTCCCGCCGAGCGCGGGGCCTGCCCCTTGCCGCGCCGCCTCCCCGGGAGGCGCGCGCTGTCGACACGGTTGTCGGTCTCCGAGGGATGTCGTTCATTTAATCACCGTGTTTGTTAAAAACCCTGCCGTGGCCATCGCGTCTGTAAAGCACACCGCTAGTCTGTAAGCAACACGAGCCCGTGATGCCGAGGGCGTTGTTTCAGCCCGGAGCACCGCACGGGCCGGTACGCAGCAGAGCAGCACCCAGCACGCCCGCCGGCGAGGGCTGTAGGACGTGCCGCAGCTCCGCTCGCACACCCACCCGTGTACGCCGACCCACAGCCTCCCGCAGGACCACCGCTCCTGCGTTGTGGAGGAGACCGGCGTTCCCCTGGCTTGGAGCACGTGGGTGCTCCTAGCCCAACCCGGCATCGGGTCTTTCCCGCTTAATCACATCAGTCCGCATTTGCAACTTCTGCTGCTTGGCTGCGCGGTCAGAAATACGCTCCTCGCTGTTCAGAATACCTGCTGAAGGGCTCGGCGTCACCGGCCAGCTCTGAGCAGGCACACCCTGCTTCCACGTCGCTGCCACCATGCCCTGGTAGCGCCACGGTCCTGTGCTGTTCCCGTATGAGGAATACAACTTGGGAGCTGCATAAATCTGCCCGCTGTTAATGATCTCATTTGCGGGGATGCATACAGCGGTTCCAAATCCGTGCTACCACATGCTTTCTCCAAAAGCACAGGAGGAATTACAGTTCCCCAAACACCCCCGGGAATGGGAAAAGACTCTAGAGATAGAACTTTAAACTGCAGGGCTGATAAAAACTTATCTTCCCTGTTACAGAGACAGAATAATCACCTGGGGTTTTTTTTGCCTTACAGAAATTGCTACTAAAGGATCCAAAACCAGACCAGGCTAGCAAGAGCTTAGGAAGGTGAAGAAAAGAAGAATCAAGGAGGAAACATCCGATGAACTCCTTGTGTCCTTGTGAACTCATGTGAACTCATGGTGTCCTGAGAAACACAGAGGGTGATCTAGGCACAAAGGACAGGAAACAAGGGGACAGTGGTGCCAAGTACATGGCACTGCAGGGATGCACAGCAGTGACACTGGAGCTGATGGGGCACGGGCAGTGGGTGGGAGAGGACCTGCAGCGTGACCCAGTTGGTTACAGAAACGGAAAGAGATGCAAAAGCAGCTCCCGCAGGTAACGAACCAGCACAGGCTATGGAGGGAAGACTGCTCCTTCATAACTGCTCGTGCTGTCTTCTTCCCCCTTGCAAGAGCATTGCTGCACTCCCACACCCGGACTCTGGGACACCTCTCGTTGGAGATGCCCACCAGAGCCCTGCCACCACGTTTCCAGTGGGGCTGCAAAGCAGGAGCCGGGGGAGCTGAGCCACTAGTGTGGAAGGGAACAGCTGCCCAGTGGTGGCCCATCAGATCTGCGCAAGGTGGGGCTTGCAGCACTGTCAGTACCACAGCACAGAGCCTGTGCACACGATTTTGTTTGTTAGTGGTTTGAGAATTGCCTAGTTACTGCCAGAGGAATCAGGAATTCCCGAGTTTGAATTCAGCAGTGTAACGTCAAGAATATCGGGGGACTGACAGACCCACAGCACCCTGACCCAGGCACTGGGGCATGAGGGACACAGCATGGGAGCTTTGGGGAGCCGCTGTCTGACATGAAAACAAAGACCCTGGGGAGATGAGGCTGCCCACCGGAATGCGGCCTTTGTTGGCCAGTTCAAGTGAAGGAGCTGCACGGACGAATACTGCCGCAGATCAAGTCCCCGGGCGCAGCTGAGCCCCTGCCCAGCCCCACTGCTCCCCAGTGCCTGGGCCAGGCCTGGGCGTGCCAGGGGGAGCAGGGAGCACCAGCATTGCTGGCACCGCACCCATGGCAGTGCCACCTGCCTGGGTTCCTCCACGCCGGCCTGGATCGGGTGGGAGGAGCAGGGGTCCCCCAGCTCCCTCTGTTCCGGACTGTGAGGCACCCTGATCCAGTTACTGGGCCAGGAACCTCTGTGCATGGCAGCAGTGAGAAGTGTCCCCAACCATGGATCCTCAGCTAAGGCTCCACCAGGCACATCTGGCACAGGCACGCTGTACCCGGCTACCTTTCCTCTCTGGTTTAGAGCACAGAGATGCTGGCAGAGACAGAGGATGCTCCCCAGGGAAGCTGCTTCCCCTTGCTGAGGCCGTTTGCTCCAAGCAGGTTTGGACCTTCTGCCAGAGGGATTGCCTCTGGGACCTGAGACAAGCGATGCCCCAGCACAGCATTATGGATTTCCTTGGTAACCAGCTGCCTGTCTGCTGGGCTGGCAGTGAGTGGGCAGCACTTTCCACCCCACTGCCTGCCTCTGCATCCCTCCCCAAGGACACGGGGAGAGGTTGTGCGAGAGCTCGGCCAAGCAGGAGAAGGGCAGGTGGTCAGCAAACAGCTCCCAGGAGTGCGGAGATGACCCCCCTCACCCCAGGCACCATTTCCTCCTCAAGAAGCAGGGCTTTGGGCAATAATCTAGCCATTTGGGGCCCTTCAGGTATGCTCAGCTCCCGCACTTGGCCAGCAGCAGCTTTACGTCTTCTCTGTGGTGGGAGTGAAAGGGACAGAATAAAATCCATCCCCTCCCACAGCTCTGCTTGGGTTGCTGCAGGATGGTAAGTCAGCCCAGCCCGAAGGTTTTTTGCAACTGTGCCTATTCTCTGCTCAGGTCTCATCTAGAGCAGGAGGAGGTGGCATGGCTATTCTCCTGCATCCGGTAATTTGGCAAACAGGAGCTGGAGTGTATGCAGGATGCAGTAGTGTCCACTTCCAAAATACTCTCCCAGTCCGTGGTTCTGCATCCTGTTGTACCATGCTGTTGGTACCACTGCAGAAAAGAAACCCTTTAATGTTTCTGCACATCTCAGCTTAGCAGCCAGTTGCAGGCTTGGCTGAGCCAGCACACAGAGCAGGGTGAACAAGCTAGCTGGGGAAGAAGTGCCTTGGATGGGACAGGGGCACCTGGACTCCTGGGTCCTGCCACCAGCTCTGCTGGTGGCCATACATGACTAGATTTAAGGCACGTTCACAGCCCAGCCTGATCCTAGCTGGGTGTCGTTGCTTGTGCTAGCTCAGCATCAATGCCCTGCTAAGGGAATTGGGGCACAGCCTCTTAAACTGTCCAGCAAAGTTGGCTTTTTCCCTCTTCATGCTGCAGTGACCCATCTGCTTCTGTTTGGAGTGTGCTGCCTGGCCAGGTCTTGTTCAGTGCCCTCCAGCTGCACGGCTCCCCATCCCTGCTGGGCAGAGGAGAAGGCAGAGTCTCTCAGGAGTTGCTTGATCTCTACGCAGATCCCTGGAAGCAGAGGAAGGTGATGCTTACTGATCACCACCAGCTGGTCTGTTTCAACATCAGTTGCAGCAAGACCCCCATCACCCCAGAGAAACACCTGTACAGCCACATCGAGGTCTGCAAGGGCCGCTGGCCTTTCCTCCTCCTGTTGATACCCCGGTTCATGCACCGTATCCTCCACAGGCAGCCTGATGACAGCAGGCTTGCGGGAGCATCTGCCACGCAGCAGCAGCAACACCGGCCGTGGGACACAGGCTTCCTCCAGGCACGGGGGAGGCCGAGCTCTGGGAATGGGGTGGATCAGACTGGCTTTCTGCCAGGACACAGGCTCTGTGTATCGGCAGCCTGGACAGTCTTTGTCCAGGGCGGGATGAGCAGGGACTGTAAGAATGAATTAGTGCAGAAGGGCTGAAGCACTGGGGCCCAAGCTCTCCTGGGACTTCTTTCTCAGGTGGGCAGCTGTTCCCCAACAGCTTTTCATGGTGGCCACTTTGCAGCTTTTCCAGTGCTTTAGGTGTCACTCATCAAAGGCAGAACTCTGTTGCCAGTGTACCAAGACGAGGACCAAGCTTGTCCTGAAACCCAGGGACCATGGAGCAGTGTGTCAACAGTGCACCTCTGAGTCCCCCTTGCGAGTGCATCTGCCTGTGGAGTTTGACAGGCAATGAGTCAGTGTCCTGCGTTTTTCTCTGACAAAACTCAGCCAGAGTGTCATAAAAAGCATCTTCTTCCTGATCATCCTGAACACCCTTATCCTGATGATCAACAGCGGTGAGCATGAACAGCCTCTCCTCCCCACTGCACAGAGGCAGCCTGACCCCGCTGCTGCTCCAGGATCTGCCTGGGCTGAGCGCTCCCCGTGTAGGAGGGCTTGCTGCATCCTGTGACACACCACAGCAGCAGGCTTAGGGCTGCTGCCAAGGGACACTCTGCATGGTAGTTTTGCAGGACATGCCCACGAGAGCCAGCGCTAGTGATCAAATTGAAGTCAAGGGTTAATTTCAGATAGCCACTTTCCCTGGCCACAGCCAGCACAGAGCGGCAGCCTTCCCTCCTGCTGTGTCCCATCCCATCCTCCCTAGGACCTCATGTCTCCAACTAGTCTTTGCCCTCAAATCTCAGCCTCCGAGCGCTGCCTCCCATCACAGCCCATCGCAGCTCAGCTGGACATTGGGGGACAGTATTCAGTACCGGCATTTCCGTCTCACCATTTGTTTCTCCTTTGAGCAGCACGCTCCTGCCCTCACCCTGTAACCTGGTCTGTCTTGCTGACCGCTGAGTTTCAGCAGCTGTCCCCTGTGACGCCCAGAGCTGAGGAACACGACCAACGTTCACCACTGTCATGGAGGCAGCCCTGGGCCATTTCCGGCATTTTTGTCATCAATATTGGACTGAACTGGCTGGTCAGCTTCAGGGGCTACTGGAAAAATGTGTGGAATGTCTTTGACTTCATTGTCATCTTTGTGGTAGGGGCCCTGGACAAGCCCCAGGGCAGCGCTGCAAGGGGACGGAGCTGGCACCAGCTCCCTGCCCCAGAGCCGGGGCACAGCATGGGGGTCCCTCCCCCCCCGCGAGTCCTGTGGCCAGGCTCTGGCTGCTCTGGTCAGCGATGAGCCTGCTGCACATGCAGGGCTGTTCTGGCTGGCGCTGTGCTCTCCCGCCAGCTTGGCTGAGGGCTCTTCTGCCCATCCTCTGCCTCTCTGAGCCCACCCCAGTACGCTCCTTCAGAGCCACCACCCTGCGAGAGGTCCTTTCCCTGGTGCAGAAGATGGGAGGCTTGGTCCACAGGGCTGCCCAGGACTGAAGCTAGACAGCAGGGACAGCCGTGGAGCAGACGTCTGTGGGTCTGGGCCTGACGCGCGGCTGCTGGACAGCTGGTGCAGGCCCTTCGTGCTCAGTCCCCTGGCCAGGGGCTGTGACTGCAGGCCAGGGCTGCTGCGTTCCCTGTGCTGCTGCCTTCCCATGGGGCAGATGTGGGGCAGAGAGCTGCCTGGGCCTGGCTGCCTGCTGGGAGGCCCCACGCCATTTCCCTGCTTCAGTCTTCCATCCCCGAGATCCCGTACCTGTTCCACACGGCGGAGGAGTCCATCTTCAGGAGGGTTCACCACGTCTTCCATGTCCTGCACTCCCTAAAGCTCTTCTGCAAGTTCCAGCAGATCCAGATGATCCTCATGTCCATAGCAAGGGCCCTGAAGGTGGGCTGGGCACCCAGCAGCGGGGTGCTGCAGTGGTGGGAAAGCACTGCTCTGCCACCTCTCCACTGCACAGCTCCCCCTTCCACAGCTCAGCTCTGAGCAGTGGTCCTGCCTGCACCCTGCCCTGCCCTTTACCCACTGCTGCCCATTTGCTGCCCTACCCCCAGCACTCCCCAGAGCTCAGTGCTCCTGGCTGAGTCCCAGCACCCAGGAAGAGATGCTGCCTCGTGCAGCAGCATCCCATGTCCTGCCCCTCCTGACAGTCCTGCCTCTCCCCACCAGGCCATGACCTACATCCTCCTGTTCCTGCTCATTTTCTTCTACATCTTTGCCGTCTCTGGCATCTTCTTCTCTGAGGACTACACCCACTCGCGCTATGCAGATCAAATCTACAAGGACTACTTCAGGTACAGCGCCTCGAATGTGTCTCCAGGTCTCAGCATGACTTCTCTGCCGGCTGCCCCGGGCTCCTGCTGCTGCCCTCTCCTGCCCAGCAGGAACCCTTGGCATGACCAGGGCTGCAATGCTGGTACCAGGCACTGGCACCACCTGGGTGCTACACACCTTGGCCCTCTCTTCTCCAGCAGCATGTGGGGAGGGAGGGTTGCTGCTGCAGCTTGGGCTGCTGGAAGCACTGCTCAGAGCCCTCCCGTGCATGCAGACACCAGCAGGTGCAGGCAGAGCAAGGCTGGGCAGGGACAGCAGCGCCCCGGGGCTGAGAGGAAAGCCCCACAGCTTCCTCTGCTGACCCATGCTCTGGCTTCCACCAGGAGGATGGGCTCCAGCCCCCATGAGATCTCTGCTGTCCTGCTGGTCTGGTGGAGCCCGGCTACACCTTGCACCCCCTGGACAGGAGCGCGTGACCATCGTACCCTGAATACCCACACGGACGTGGGTGCTTGCAGGCTGTGTGGCCCAGAGCCAGGCAGGGGGGCACGCTGAGGGCAGCCAGGCTCTTGCAGGGACTGTGCTTCACCCTGCCCCACCTGGCATGGCTGATGGACGGGAGCATACAGAGGCCATGCGTGACAGAGCCATTTTCTTCTTGCAGTAGTTTACCGATGCTGTGATGATTGTCTTCATTCTCTTCACCATGGACCTGTGGCTTAACCTGCTTCAGGAAACTTGGGAGGTCCCCCGTTTGAGCAAGTTCATCAGCGGAACCTACATCATCCTTTGGCTGATGATCGTGTCCTTTCTCTTCAAGAACATCATTGTGGCTATCATGGGTGAGCGCTGAGCCAGGGCCAGCCATCGGCCTCCTTCTGCAGAGGCCCCCAGACAGCTCGCAGGGTGCTTTTTTGCCCAAACACCAGCAAGACAAGGCCTGTCCCTGCTCCCTCACGGGGTAGCACCTGGCTCCGGCCAGGGGTGTGGGTGCTGCCCTCTGCCACAGCGAGTGGTGCAAGTTCCAGGGGGACATGAACTGAACAAAAAGCAAGAGCAGCCTCTGCCACAGCGAGTGGTGCAAGTTCCATGAACTGAACAAAAAGCAAGAGCATTGAAAGGGGAGCAAAGGCTGCGCCCCAATTGCTTGCTCACTTTGAATCGGGATCTCTCACAAATGGGAACCTGGAGGCCAGTGCCCAGCTGTGGTTTCTCTCCTTGAGTTTGGAGCTGGGGAGCCACCCCCGCCTCCCATGTTCTCCGGGGCACACGGCAGCACTGCAGTACAGCCCTGTCCAAAGGGGCATAGGCAGAGCAGCCTGGGGGCGGCCCACAAATCACCAAGTCCTCTTCACCCCAGGGTATCAAGACCCTCTTCCCAGCACTCACCACTGTACAATACTGCTTGCCAGTGAGCAATTTCCAAAGCATCTGGAGTAACCTAACTGAAAAATTGCAGCAGAGGAAAGCCCTGAAACAAATGGATTTATTTAAAATGCAAGCTAGAGAGAGGTAGAGATGGGAAGATCCCAAAAACCTCTTCCCCAGAAATGCTTCCCACAGCACTTGGGAACTGCAGTGTGAGCAAGATTCTCGTCTTGTGATACTCTTCCCACATTTGCCCTGCAGGCAGTCCTGGAGAGGCCTCAAGAGCCCAAGCGGTATCTCTGTCAGGTGAGTGTGGACATGCTGGGTCTGGAGAGGAGGAGCGGGAACCAGAGGGTTCCTCCCTGCGTGACGGCCCCGGGAGCAGGGGAAACAGCCCAGCCCTGCGCCAGACATGTCTGATGATGCTCTCCCCCTTCCCCACTTCAGAAATAAAGCAGATCAGTTAGGCCGGGTTTGGCCTAGCTCAGATCCAAGTACAGCAGCCAGGTGCTGGGGGAACATGGCTCCAGGTCAGCCGGAGCTGGAGCTGACCGGTGGGTTTCCCTCCCGCAGAGGGTTACGGAGCCCAGAGGTGGAGCTGGGCAGAGACTGCAGGACCGGCTCGGGACCGGCACCGGGACCATCGCCTGGGAAGAGCTGTACGACCCG